ACGTAGCTTGTTGCCTGTTGGGAAGGCAATTTTGTATGGATATCAAAGCCAACAATTATAACAACAAATGCAACAAATATCAAGGCTCCTCATATTGTTAATGACCTCATAATTATCTCGGCCAATAATTCACAAGTACCACCACATTGTAGCGGTCAAAGTCCGCTTTTGGATCAATCACCTTCCGTTGGTCAAAATACCATTGGCAATGGTGCATCACTTTGCATTCAGTTCATTTTTCAACGTGCTTAGAAAGGTGCCACAATTACTTCGTTAGCTGGCGATGAATTTTAATCACGCTGTGTAGCGCCTTGTGCGCCGCGCGCACCTCAAATACAAATATTTGATTCTACCGTAATATCAAAACGTGGTACGAGAGTAAGGCGCGTGTCGCCCGCCATTCCCCGTCATGACCTGTCATCTTATAGTGCTATGTGTGAGGGGCAAATTGGGAAAATCCGGTCCCGGTCATAATCCAGGTCTTGATGGAAACATTTGAATCGGTCCCGTGCATGACGGCTCGCGAATAGACCCGCAATCTGCGGATTGCCCAAGCCGTGAAGTTGTGTACTGGTCGTTCAAAACGCGACAGAGTGAAGGGCCAGTTTTCGCACGCAGAGGTTTGTCCAAAACACTTACCGAACGGCGTATCGTATCGGCGTCAACATTAAAAGTGTAGACAGTTGAGAAGCCAATGTTGTGATATCAGATCAGATGTAGCTTGTAAGACCGCTGGTCTTCGGCAGACCCGAGTCAGGCTATTTCTGTTAGCGAAGGCAACTCGTAGGGAATCGTTCAACCTGATACGATAACGGAGCGTCAGACGAATCGACACATCTTGAGGCAACAGCACAATTGACTTTAGGATTACGACTTAATCCATACACCCGTGGATCAGGAATGACGGAGGTCAGAACCAAATGCTAATTTCCCTTAGTGCCTGCTTTACGGGGTTGCTTTATGTTCATCTCGAATGTCTTTGTCGTGGTGGCGTCAATAGATATGTTATTCATATGTCTTAAAGATCAGAGCAGGTCATTAGTCTAAAATGACCCTGATGAGCCATTTGTTTTCGGAAACATACCGCCTCAAGGAATCCTGTTTATTAAAACAAAAAATATCAAAACCATCTTGAAGTTTTGGTCACTATGATCTTACGACGGTTGAACAAGGTCACTGACCCGAATTGAAATTAAATTTTGTTTCCCTGAGAACAGGTAATGCGGTTAAGAATGGGCGTGTAAGAAGATCTTAGGACACTTCGGACACTGATCTGGAGTTTGACCTTGTTTGACATGGTTGGACCATAAGACATGACGTAAGGATCTCCAAATTGGACGCAGTAGACGTCACATGCAGGCCTACCCTCCCCGAAAATTCGGTGTCTAGTTAATTTTGAGAATTTTAGGTGGGTTGAATTGACGCTCCACCCTTCCCCCTGCCTAACTCAGGCTGTATCCCTCAGGCTTTATAAAGTCCCTGCTGAACACTGGTGGGCCTCAGACTACTCAGAGGCTCTTTGAACGCCCAGGGGTCGCATCGACCGCTCAGAAATCTACGTGTTCTCTGCGCCGTTCATGAGCAGATCTAACTGTTCAGGACTCCTGTCCCCCTCCGGCAATTGAGGAGACCCTGGCCGAAGTCGTTTCCCTCTGACCTGAGTTTCCTTTTGAGCTTCCCGGTTTGGATTCAGTTGCTCTACTTTTTCCAGCATCTTCCTCAGAGCTAGATAGAACCGATAAGACGAAATTGCGTACAAATGCTAGAGGGTCGGCACCCCACACGGTTCACAGCACCCTCAGCATGCCTCACAACACTGTCAGGATGGCGCACAGCTGTTGGAGGCGGGCGCATATGGATGTGCTGGACCCTGAGAATCATGATACCCACACCACTCTCTCTCAAAAAAGGTGCGAGCATTGGGCCGTTTAGTGGCCCGAGTGCAACCCGCCAGAATTGTTGATTACGCCGTGTAGGTTGTAATGAAAGTCCTCCTGTACGGCAGAGTATGGCGCCAGACCACTGGCGGAGAGGTCAGAGTGGTATTAAGCTAGTGTATGTTTTGATTATGCCTGTAGAAAGAACCGCTTCAGGTGCACTACAATGCGCTTGGGAACCTTTGAATTAGGGAGTCCTCGGAGCACCCCCAATGTTTCTGACAAATGAAGCAGGTAGGCTTTCATCTCCGTCAAGCACCTCTTCTTTGTTGAAAAGGTCAAGGCAATCCTGTAACCTCACCTGGCCTGCTATGGAGGGGATCGACAGGTTCATTTCCCAGAACGGGTCGAGCGTTGCGGACGCGTGGCCGCAGACTATGCCCCGTAGTGCGGACTTTTGTCCTGTCCTGTCCTGTCCGGCAAACAGGTCAACGAACTTGCGAGTTCTTCAAGAACACGAAACGCTCCCAGGCTTCCAGTGGCTTCTGTCTAGCAGTGGGGATGTCATCAATGCCGTTGGTGATGGCTTGGATTGGTTGTTGATGTGGCTCACGCCCTCGTGCATGGATTCCAGCAGGCATCCGAAGAACTGTGCATGCTGAAAGTTTGTTGAGATGCCATGTACTGCATAAACGGCTGACATTATACTCCCGGCATCGTTCGAAATCATTCAGTGCCCAAGCACTACCTTAAAAATGCGTCACAGTAGCCTGCACAGTTGACCCTGTGTGCATGTTTCATTGTGTGCACACAAACTGACTCGCGTGACGCACGCAAATGTCGGAAGGAAGATTAGAAACGAAGTATGAAACAATGCCATTGATGCAAAGCCTCGCCAAAGTGAATGTTTTTGTATCACGATGCCCGCATAGCTATCACTTATCCTCGCTCCAATTCAATGTCACAGCGGACATCTGGGCTCCTTTTCATTGGCTGCTGCGTTGGGCGCAGTCGTTACGACGGGACACCTCATTTATACACATGTATAGATACGTACACATATACGAGACACATGTAATACGAGAGCGACATAATAAGCCCTCCTGAGTTTGGAGGCGCTCAGCATCCGCCGGAGAGCCTGTAGCTATCTGTCATCGTAAGTTGGCGTGAAGTTACATGCAATGAAAATATGGTGTGAAATTGCCTCAGCTTTTCTTCTCGTTCACGGCAACAACACAACCCTGGAGTGACCTTATTAAGGTTGGGCTTTCGTTTGTAACGCGCAAGTGTCCTGCTTCTTTGAAGAAAAATAGTGCGCCAAATAAGGCCTTTCATTTCACGGTAACCACGTGAATGATTGCCGGAGTCTTTCGGTGTCTGGGTGCACCCTTTCCTTTCCCGCACGATTGTTCGTCAGGACTATCAGAACAACTGTAAATAAAATGCTTCGGTTATTCATCAGGAATATCCGCGGCTGTCCTGCTGAAATGCCTTTGTTTCATCGTCACGTATTATTCGTTATTTCGCCTTCACAATTCTTTGTAATATGCTCCCAAGGAACTAAAATTTAACCGAATGTTAAATGATAACAACACAAAAGCACTTTTGGATTAACGTTTGCCAGCTATTCTGATAGAAAATATGACAAACGATAGACTTCACCTCCTGTTTATCCTGCTTTCCGTTCAGATTTAGTATGAAACCAGTTTCCCGTTGGTACAGTTATTAGCAGCAATGGGTCCTGTAATTATATGACAAAAGGGATGAGATTGTTTCTTGCGCTTATTGTCATGATCGTTCATTTCATCCATGATTTTATTGCAATTAACCGTAACCGTGAAGGCCTTCCTCACGACTGTTCAGATGAGCGCACGCTGATGGGCAGAGGAGGGGGGGGGGGGGGACGTCTGCTAGTGACCGGTGCGCTTATTGACGCACCGAAGAATATTCAAGCATTGTCTGCAACTTCTTGCGTCAATGCTGAAAGCATCTTTTATAGCAGAAGCCTTCGACACCATGGCACACGAGGCAGGCGACGATAGTAAAAAATTCGGTGTCCCGATCCAATCAGTGCAAGGTCACAAGCCGTACACGCTGGGAAAACCCTTGCACTCAATGTACCGATGAGCTGATCCAGAGGGTAGCCGAAATACGAACCTCCGCGAGATGGAGAGTAAAACATCCCACATTCGCTTTGCTCCTGAGTGGAACGTGGCAGCAATGTCTGACAGGAGACAGGATCCGTACCGAGCTGTCCTCAAAGGTAACAGCAGGGTGTTCAACTTGCAAATGGAGAAGGATAAGAAATTCAGGAGCATATGTGTGAACGTCCCGCTTTTCTTGAAACTATACCACAATTTTTCTTGCGACCAGGTTCGCTTACTTTTGGGGGAAAATAGAAACTATGGCAAATATGGAATATCCTCACCAGTTGCCCACTATCTATGACCAATAGAAGTTGAACTAAGCCCTTACAAAGAAGAAGTTCAGTGTTTCGCAATTGTGTCAAAGCCGTGACTACCCATGCCAAACCATGACAAATGTTGAAGATTCTTGCCCTTTGCACATAGCATATGACCAATAGAGGTATAGTTAAGCGGCCTTTCGTGGCCTAAGCTCACACTTTCTCAATGGTGACTAACTCAGTTCAACAGGACTTTGCATGGCTGTAGGATATGGTGTTCCCTTGTGATGTAACGGCACCTCGTTGTATGTACTTCAAGGGAGGATGTCACCTTTTGTGTAGCTCTCTCTTACTGCTTGATAGATCAGACTCGTTCACTTTTATTAGTAACATCAGTTTTCTCGAAATTCTTCTGAATAGCTCAGAATTTCGGTTTGTAGTAGCCTGTTCTGCGGAAGAAATCTCACTTGACTCTGTGCTAACTAATGTGGAAGTAATTCATTTCACTTGCCTTGCTTGTTCCAACGTGTGCTCTGTAATGTTTGCAACACACTTATTTGTCAAAATTTGTGTGATTAATGCTACGAAAGCTGGAAACACCCCGTTTAAACAAAAAGGCATGCAAACATGAAGCTTTTATTGCGCAAATGCGCACCGAATGTGGGACACTCCCTTTTAGTGGATCTTGTAACGCATGCCATTGCCCCGTTTCTTCACAGGTGCGGCACAACTTCTTCCGGGACGGCATCATGAAGTTGAAGTGTACCAGCGCCATCGGCGAAAAGTACTGGCAAAGCACGGAGACGCTGATTGGCCAGCTGGGTGACCCGCGGCGCGGGACGCCGAGCCAGCTGGCGGGTCGGGCAGGTCAGAGATACGCCGACCAGCAGATGGAGGTTACTTTACAGTTCACAGCTTAGTGCCCACAGAATATACAGCGAGGCTCCCATCACCATCGATACCCGTGTTCGACTCAATTTTTTTGAGCTGGCTCAGGACTGGCTTTAATATTTTAGGACCAGATTCAACTCATGACTGGGGTTCATTCCAATTTCTTTGATTCAACTTATTTCAGATGCATTGCATGCGTTGAATATTTTGGCTTATGACTCACGCGGCTTCCAAAACAAAGATCCAGTTCAGTTCTGGTTCGTTGCCTTGGGCTATATTTCATGATTATATTCGACAACAGTTTGGTCTTGTGTTTTTGTCAGATATAGAGAGAGAAAGAGAGAGAGAGAGAGAGAGAGAGAGAGAGAGAGAGAGAGAGAGAGAGAGAGAGAGAGGAGAGAGAGAGAGGAGAGAGAGAGAGAGAGAGAGAGAGAGAGAGAGAGAGAGATAGAGAGAGAGATAGAGAGATATAGAGAGAGAGATAGATAGAGAGAGAGATAGAGATAGAGATTATATATATATATATATATATATATATATATATATATATATATATATATAATATATATATATCTATATATATAATATATCACAGTATGGAAAATGGGTCCATGTAGTGTAGACTAGTAGCAATTATGGTTTGAACGTAGCAAGTGCAGTGCAGCAAACAATATTATTTCTGCAGCCTGTTACCAACCAGCTCTCTCAAGCCTCAGCGCCAGGTACCATATTGCACATGGAACTTACCACCCAGACCATTAGTAACATAGCATACAATGTAAAAAAGCTGCAAAAAAGCCGGCAGATGGCGGTCTGCAGCTGTCAAGTGCCAGAGCTAACTACATTAATACGTAGATAACCATATTTGTAGTAGCCAGTACTAACCGTGTTGTCGGCGATGACATGTGAACAATTCATTGGCAAATGTTACAATTGGTAATGCAAAATATTAACAGTCTTTCGATTTCATGGGATTAAATGGTTTTAAGCACATGCACGTGCAGTCCAGGAGAACCAACACCGATGATCAGCGTTGCAGTCTCCATAGATCGCCGGCATGGTCCTTGCATCCAACGTCTGGTAACGGTCAACAGGGGGGGGGGGGGGGC